TCACTCACTCACTCACTCACCACTCACTCACTCAGTCAGTCACTCAGTCAGTCACTCACTCACTCAGTCACTCACTCACTCACCACTCACTCACTCAGTTAGTCACTCAGTCAGTCACTCAGTCACTCACTCACTCACTCACCACGTCACTCACAACTCACTCACTCAGTTAGTCACTCAGTCAGTCACTCAGTCAGTCAGTCACTCACTCACTCACCACTCACTCACCACTCACTCACTCACCACTCACTCACTCACCACCTCGCTCACTCAGTTAGTCACTCAGTCAGTCAGTCACTCACTCAGTCAGTCACTCAGTCACTCACTCACCACTCACTCACTCACCACCTCGCTCACTCAGTCACTCAGTCAGTCACTCACTCAGTCAGTCACTCACTCACTCAGTCACTCACTCAGTCACTCACTCAGCCACTCACTCAGTCACTCACTCAGCCACTCACTCACTCAGTCACTCCCTCACTCAGCCACTCACTCACTCAGCCACTGACTCACTCACTCAGCCAGTCAGTCAGCCACTCACTCGCTCACTCACTCACTCAGCTACTCACTCAGCCACTCACTTACTCACTCAGCCACTCACTCACTCACTCACCACTACACTCACAACTACACTCACCACCACATCACTCACCACCCCCTCACCCTCACCACGTGTCCACCCCCAGGGCTACCCGGCAGAGTTTGCGATGTACCTCAACTAGTCACTCACCACTCACTCACTCACTCACCCCTTCACCACTACACTCACTCACCACTCACTCACCACTCACTCACTCACCACTACACTCACTACACTCACCCTCACCACGTGTCCACCCACCACGTGTCCACCCTCACCACGTGTCCACCCCCAGGGCTACCCGGCAGAGTTTGCGATGTACCTCAACTAGTCACTCACCACTCACTCACTCACTCACCACTCACTCACTCACTCACCCCCTCACCACTACACTCACTCACCACTCACTCACCACTCACTCACTCACTCACCACTCACTCACCACTACACTCACCACTCACTCACTCACCACTCACTCACCACTACACTCACCACTCACTCACCACTCACTCCCACTCACTCACCACTCACTCACTCACCACTACACTCACCACTCACTCACTCACCACTCACTCACCACTACACTCACCACTCACGGTGAGTCACTCACCACTACACTCACCACTACACTCACCACTCACTCACTCACTCACCACTACACTCACCACTACACTCACCACTACACTCACCACTCACTCACCACTCACTCACCACTCACTCACCACTACACTCACCACTCACTCACTCACTCACCACTACACTCACCACTACACTCACCACTACACTCACCACTACACTCACCACTCACTCACCACTCACTCACCACTCACTCACCACTACACTCACCACTACACTCACCACCACACTCACCACTCACTCACCACTCACCACTACACTCACTACACTCACCCTCACCACGTGTCCACCCCCTCACCCTCACCACGTGTCCACCCACCACGTGTCCACCCCCAGGGCTACCCGGCAGAGTTTGCGATGTACCTCAACTAGTCACTCACCACTCACTCACTCACTCACTCACCCCCTCACCACTCACCCCCTCACCCTCACCACCCCCTCACCACCCTCACCACCCCCCTCACCCTCACCACGTGTCCACCCACTCACCACCCCCTCACCCTCACCACCCCCAGGGCTACCCGGCAGAGTTTGCGATGTACCTCAACTAGTCACTCACCACTCACTCACTCACTCACTCACCCCCTCACCACTCACCCCCTCACCCTCACCACCCCCTCACCACCCTCACCACCCCCTCACCCTCACCACCCCCAGGGCTACCCGGCAGAGTTTGCGATGTACCTCAACTAGTCACTCACCACTCACTCACCACTCACTCACCACTCACTCACCACTACACTCACCACCACTACACTCACTCACTCACCCCCTCACCACTCACCCCCTCACCCTCACCACTCACCACTACACTCACCCCCTCACCCTCACCACCCCCTCACCCTCACCACTCACTCACCACCCCCTCACCCTCACCACGTGTCCACCCTCACCACGTGTCCACCCCCAGGGCTACCCGGAAGAGTTTGCGATGTACCTCAACTAGTCACTCACCACTCACTCACTCACTCACCCCCTCACCACTACACTCACCACTCACTCACCACTCACTCACTCACTCACCACTCACTCACCACTACACTCACCACTCACTCACTCACCACTCACTCACCACTACACTCACCACTACACTCACCACTCACTCACTCACCACTCACTCACCACTACACTCACCACTCACTCACTCACCACTCACTCACCACTACACTCACCACTCACGGTGAGTCACTCACCACTACACTCACCACTACACTCACCACTCACTCACTCACTCACCACTACACTCACCACTCACTCACCACTACACTCACCACTACACTCACCACTCACTCACCACTCACTCACCACTACACTCACCACTACACTCACCACTACACTCACCACTACACTCACCACTACACTCACCACTCACTCACCACTCACTCACCACTCACTCACCACTCACTCACCACTACACTCACCACTACACTCACCACTACACTCACCACTACACTCACCACTCACTCACCACTCACTCACCACTACACTCACCACTACACTCACCACTACACTCACCACTACACTCACCACTACACTCACCACTCACTCACCACTCACTCACCACTCACTCACCACTACACTCACCACTACACTCACCACCACACTCACCACTCACTCACCACTCACCACTACACTCACTACACTCACCCTCACCACGTGTCACCCCCTCACCCTCACCACGTGTCCACCCACCACGTGTCCACCCCCAGGGCTACCCGGCTGAGTTTGCGATGTACCTCAACTAGTCACTCACCACTCACTCACTCACTCACCCCTTCACCACTACACTCACTCACCACTCACTCACCACTACACTCACTACACTCACCCTCACCACGTGTCCACCCCCTCACCCTCACCACGTGTCCACCCACCACGTGTCCACCCCCTCACCACGTGTCCACCCCCAGGGCTACCCGGCAGAGTTTGCGATGTACCTCAACTAGTCACTCACCACTCACTCACTCACTCACTCACCCCCTCACCACTACACTCACCACTCACTCACCACTCACTCACCACTCACTCACCACTCACTCACTCACTCACCACTCACTCACCACTCACCCTCACCACGTGTCCACCCACCACGTGTCCACCCACCACGTGTCCACCCCCAGGGCTACCCGGCTGAGTTTGCGATGTACCTCAACTAGTCACTCACCACTCACTCACTCACTCACCCCCTCACCACTACACTCACCACTCACTCACCACTCACTCACCACTCACTCACCACTCACTCACCACTCACTCACTCACTCACCACTCACTCACCACTCACCCTCACCACGTGTCCACCCACCACGTGTCCACCCACCACGTGTCCACCCCCAGGGCTACCCGGCTGAGTTTGCGATGTACCTCAACTAGTCACTCACCACTCACTCACTCACTCACCCCCTCACCACTCACCCCCTCACCCTCACCACCCCCTCACCACCCTCACCACCCCCTCACCCTCACCACGTGTCCACCCACTCACCACCCCCTCACCCTCACCACCCCCAGGGCTACCCGGCAGAGTTTGCGATGTACCTCAACTAGTCACTCACCACTCACTCACCACTCACTCACCACTCACTCACCACTACACTCACCACCACTACACTCACTCACCACTCACCCTCACCACGTGTCCACCCACCACGTGTCCACCCACCACGTGTCCACCCCCAGGGCTACCCGGCTGAGTTTGCGATGTACCTCAACTAGTCACTCACCACTCACTCACCACTCACTCACCACTCACTCACCACTACACTCACCACCACTACACTCACTCACCACTCACCCTCACCACGTGTCCACCCACCACGTGTCCACCCACCACGTGTCCACCCCCAGGGCTACCCGGCTGAGTTTGCGATGTACCTCAACTAGTCACTCACCACTCACTCACTCACTCACCCCCTCACCACTACACTCACCACTCACTCACCACTCACTCACCACTCACTCACCACTCACTCCCACTCACTCACTCACTCACCACTCACTCACCACTCACCCTCACCACGTGTCCACCCACCACGTGTCCACCCACCACGTGTCCACCCCCAGGGCTACCCGGCTGAGTTTGCGATGTACCTCAACTAGTCACTCACCACTCACTCACTCACTCACCCCCTCACCACTACACTCACCACTCACTCACCACTCACTCACCACTCACTCACCACTCACTCACCACTCACTCACTCACTCACCACTCACTCACCACTCACCCTCACCACGTGTCCACCCACCACGTGTCCACCCACCACGTGTCCACCCCCAGGGCTACCCGGCTGAGTTTGCGATGTACCTCAACTAGTCACTCACCACTCACTCACTCACTCACCCCTTCACCACTCACACCCTCACCCTCACCACTACACTCACTACTACACTCACTCACTCACCACACTCACACTCACCACTACACTCACCCTCACCACGTGTCCACCCCCTCACCCTCACCACGTGTCCACCCACCACGTGTCCACCCCCAGGGCTACCCGGCTGAGTTTGCGATGTACCTCAACTAGTCACTCACCACTCACTCACTCACCACCCCCTCACACTCACCACCCTCACCACTCACCCTCACCACCCCCTCACCCTCACCCTCACCACCCTCACCACTCACCCTCACCACGTGTCCACCCACCACGTGTCCACCCACCACGTGTCCACCCCCAGGGCTACCCGGCTGAGTTTGCGATGTACCTCAACTAGTCACTCACCACTCACTCACCACCCCCTCACACTCACCACTCACCCTCACCACGTGTCCACCCCCAGGGCTACCCGGCTGAGTTTGCGATGTACCTCAACTACTGCCGCGGCCTTCGCTTCGAGGAAACTCCTGACTACATGTACCTGCGTCAGCTGTTCCGCATCCTGTTCAGGTACCACCTGCACTACCTGCACTACCTGCACCACCTGCACTACCTGCACTACCTGCACCACCTGCACCACCTGCACTACCTGCACCACCTGCACTACCTGCACTACCTGCACCACCTGCACCACCTGCACTACCTGCACTACCTGCACTACCTGCACCACCTGCACCACCTGCACTACCTGCACTACCTGCACTACCTGCACTACCTGCACCACTGCACTACCTGCACCACCTGCACTACCTGCACCTACCTGCACCTACCTGCACTACCTGCACCACCTGCACTACCTGCACTACCTGCACTACCTGCACTACCTGCACCACCTGCACTACCTGCACTACCTGCACTACCTGCACCACCTGCACTACCTGCACTACCTGCACTACCTGCACTACCTGCACCACCTGCACTACCTGCACCACCTGCACTACCTGCACTACCTGCACCACCTGCACTACCTGCACTACCTGCACCACCTGCACTACCTGCACTACCTGCACCACCTGCACTACCTGCACTACCTGCACTACCTGCACCACCTGCACTACCTGCACTACCTGCACTACCTGCACTACCTGCACTACCTGCACTACCTGCACTACCTGCACCTACCTGCACCACCTGCACTACCTGCACTACCTGCACCACCTGCACTACCTGCACTACCTGCACTACCTGCACCACCTGCACTACCTGCACTACCTGCACTACCTGCACCACCTGCACTACCTGCACTACCTGCCCCACCTGCACCACCTGCACTACCTGCACTACCTGCACTACCTGCACTACCACTGTGTGTGTAGATCGAAGTCGGCACTACCTGCACTGCCTGCACTACCTGCACTACCTGCACTACCACAAGTACTATGTGTGTGTAGAAGAGTGCACTACCTGCACTACCACAAGTACTCTGTGTGTGTAGAAGAGTGCACTACCTGCACTACCACGAGTACTCTGTGTGTGTCGAAGAGTGCACTACCGGCACTACCACGAGTACTCTGTGTGTGTAGAAGAGTGCACTACCAGCACTACCACGAGTACTCTGTGTGTGTAGAAGAGTGCACTACCAGCACTACCACGAGTACTCTGTGTGTGTAGAAGAGTGCACTACCAGCACTACCACGAGTACTCTGTGTGTGTAGAAGAGTGCACTACCAGCACTACCACGAGTACTCTGTGTGTGTAGAAGAGTGCACTACCTGCACTACCACGAGTACTCTGTGTGTGTAGAAGAGTGCACTACCAGCACTACCACGAGTACTATGTGTGTGTAGAAGAGTGCATTACCAGCACTACCACGAGTACTCTGTGTGTGTAGAAGAGTGCACTACCTGCACTACCACGAGTACTCTGTGTGTGTAGAAGAGTGCACTACCAGCACTACCACGAGTACTCTGTGTGTGTAGAAGCGTGCACTACCTGCACTACCACAAGTACTCTGTGTGTGTAGAAGAGTGCACTACCAGCACTACCACAAGTACTCTGTGTGTGTAGAAGTGTGCACTACCTGCACTACCACGAGTACTCTGTGTGTGTAGAAGAGTGCACTACCTGCACTACCACGAGTACTCTGTGTGTGTAGAAGAGTGCACTACCAGCACTACCACGAGTACTCTGTGTGTGTCGAAGAGTGCACTACCGGCACTACCACGAGTACTCTGTGTGTGTAGAAGAGTGCACTACCAGCACTACCACGAGTACTCTGTGTGTGTAGAAGAGTGCACTACCAGCACTACCACGAGTACTCTGTGTGTGTAGAAGAGTGCCCTACCAGCACTACCACGAGTACTCTGTGTGTGTGGAAGAGTGCACTACCAGCACTACCACGAGTACTCTGTGTGTGTAGAAGAGTGCACTACCTGCACTACCACGAGTACTCTGTGTGTGTAGAAGAGTGCACTACCAGCACTACCACGAGTACTATGTGTGTGTAGAAGAGTGCACTACCAGCACTACCACGAGTACTCTGTGTGTGTAGAAGAGTGCACTACCTGCACTACCACGAGTACTCTGTGTGTGTAGAAGAGTGCACTACCAGCACTACCACGAGTACTCTGTGTGTGTAGAAGCGTGCACTACCTGCACTACCACAAGTACTCTGTGTGTGTAGAAGAGTGCACTACCAGCACTACCACAAGTACTCTGTGTGTGTAGAAGCGTGCACTACCGGCACTACCACGAGTACTCTGTGTGTAGAAGAGTGCACTACCAGCACTACCACGAGTACTCTGTGTGTGTAGAAGAGTGCACTACCTGCACTACCACGAGTACTCTGTGTGTGTCGAAGAGTGCACTACCAGCACTACCACGAGTACTCTGTGTGTGTAGAAGAGTGCACTACCTGCACTACCACGAGTACTCTGTGTGTGTAGAAGAGTGCACTACCAGCACTACCACGAGTACTCTGTGTGTGTAGAAGAGTGCACTACCTGCACTACCACGAGTACTCTGTGTGTGTAGAAGAGTGCACTACCAGCACTACCACGAGTACTATGTGTGTGTAGAAGAGTGCACTACCAGCACTACCACGAGTACTCTGTGTGTGTAGAAGAGTGCACTACCTGCACTACCACGAGTACTCTGTGTGTGTAGAAGAGTGCACTACCAGCACTACCACGAGTACTCTGTGTGTGTAGAAGCGTGCACTACCTGCACTACCACGAGTACTCTGTGTGTGTCGAAGAGTGCACTGCCTGCACTACCACAAGTACTCTGTGTGTGTAGAAGAGTGCACTACCTGCACTACCACGAGTACTCTGTGTGTGTAGAAGAGTGCACTACCTGCACTACCACGAGTACTCTGTGTGTGTAGAAGAGTGCACTGCCTGCACTACCACGAGTACTCTGTGTGTAGAAGTGTGCACTGCCTGCACTACCACAAGTACTCTGTGTGTGTAGAAGTGTGCACTACCTGCACTACCACGAGTACTCTGTGTGTAGAAGAGTGCACTACCAGCACTACCACGAGTACTCTGTGTGTGTAGAAGAGTGCACTACCAGCACTACCACGAGTACTCTGTGTGTGTAGAAGAGTGCACTACCTGCACTACCACGAATACTCTGTGTGTGTAGAAGAGTGCACTACCTGCACTACCACGAGTACTCTGTGTGTGTAGAAGAGTGCACTACCTGCACTACCACAAGTACTCTGTGTGTAGAAGTGTGCACTGCCTGCACTACCACAAGTACTCTGTGTGTGTAGAAGTGTGCACTACCAGCACTACCACGAGTACTCTGTGTGTGTAGAAGTGTGCACTACCTGCACTACCACGAGTACTCTGTGTGTGTAGAAGAGTGCACTACCAGCACTACCACGAGTACTCTGTGTGTGTAGAAGAGTGCACTACCTGCACTACCACAAGTACTCTGTGTGTGTAGAAGAGTGCACTACCTGCACTACCACGAGTACTCTGTGTGTGTAGAAGAGT